TCCATAGCATTCAATATATATTCTGAATAACATGTAAGATTGGATTCAATGGATCTATTTTTGAAAAAACCATGCTGCTCTGGCATTATCTGACGCAACACTAACTGGTGAAGTGATTTGTAAACAAACGTTTCAAACAATTTGGCAAAGATGCACAGCTTACTAATGGGTCTATAATTGTTTATCAAGTTTTTTTGCCCGGATTTGTAGATTGGAATAATACAAGCTGACTTCCAATAATCTGGGAATATTCCAGTGGCCAGTGATTGATTATACAGTAATGTTAATGGTGTTACTAGTCCAAAGCGGCAGTTCTTAACAAAAACAGAGGGTATTTTATCTGATCCCGCTCCTTTATTCGGGTCTAAATCGCGTAAACCGTTTATTACGTCACTCTCTGTGAGCTGCACTTCGCGTAAATGTAGGTTAGAGCAAAAATTTTGTTTTTGTATGATATCTAGTTTTGGTACAAAAACGCTTGCAAAGTAGGATCCGAATAGATTGCTAATGCTTTGTCCATCCGAGACAATTGTGTTTCCCAACTTCATTTCGGAAGGAATTTGGGTTGATTTGTTGATTTTAACGAGATTCCAGAATTTTTTAACATTTGAAGGTATATCATTTTCTATACAGGGTGTTTCAGATTTAAATGTACATACGATACCTGTAGATAGAGGACACTTCGGTGGTTCCAAATCACCCCTCATCGATATGTCTACCGTCTTTTATAACTGAGATACAGGGCGTTGTCTTGATTTTGGCAAAATCTTCATCTGGTTATAATTCTTGAAACACTTTTTATTATCTATAGATACTTGGTAGAAATATTCCACTTATATTACCCATCAACACCATATAAAAATCCGGATCAAAATCCAGGTCCGTCTTGAGGAAAAACAGAAAACTTCTTTTATCTCAAAAACAACACCTTGTATGGCAAAATTTTGTAGGTCTGTCCTGATATTTGGAAAGAGCGGGAAAAAATGAAATTAGTGACCTACTTTTTACGAGTGCGCATCTTATTTGACAGATGGTTTATTATCAAGTTTTGAAATATTCAGCTCCATTTCGAGGCATTTTTATTGAACTTATAATTCAAAATTCAATTTTAATACAAAAAAATAACAGTCTTCAAAGTTCAACATCATTAGAGTCAAATTAGGTGAACTATCGATAGATTTGTTGTGACAGAATCACTTGTCTATGGTATCATACATTTTTGAGGGCTCATTTTATTCTCCACTATTAATTCACGAGCTGCGGTTAAGTAGGCTGTGCAAAAAAATCTGATATTCTGACAGGTCATAATCACTAGTGTGATATTATTGGTAATGTTGAGATAATTATTTCTGGTGCTATAGTAAAGTATAAAATTAGTCCTCGAAAGTTTTTAAAATCATCGACAAATTATTCTGTCAAACAAACAAATTTATCGATAGTTCACCTAATTTGACTCTAATGATGTTGAACTGTGGAGACTGTTATTTTTCTGTATAAAAATTGGGTTTTGAATTGAGTTCAATAAAAATGCCTCGAAATGGAGCTGAATATTTCAAAACATGATAATAAACCATCTTTCAAATTGGATGCGCACTCGTAAAAAGTAGGTCACTTCATTCATTTTTTTCCGCTCTTTCCAAATATCAAAACCGATCAATAAAATTTTGTCATACAGAGTGTTGTTTTTGAGATAAAAGAAGTTTTCTGTTTTTCCTCAAGACGGACCTGGATTTTAATCCGGATTTTCATTTGGTTTTGATGGGTAATATAAGTGAAATATTTCTACCAAGTATGGATGGATTATACAAAGTGGTTCAGAAGTTATAACCAGATGAAGATTTTGCCAATATCAAGATAACGTCCTGTATCTCAGTTATCAAAGACGGTAGACATATGTCAATGTTCGATCTTTAGTCCCTCATTTGAATGATTTACATCTGGTTATCAAGGAGAAAAAGTATGATGTAATAGGTCTCACTGAGACATGGTTACATCCAGAAATCCCAGATAGAGCATTAGATATTGAGGGCTATAGGTTCATAAGATCTGACCGTCTAGTGAGGAGAGGTGGTGGAACTGGTGTATATATAAAAAATAACTTGGTGTACAAGGTTATTCAGAATGGCACATTCGAGTATCTAGAACAACTATGGATTGAAAACTCTGATAGTGGAGCTTTCCTGAACCAATTCGAAGATACCTTGATCAGCGTATTTTCTGATTATGATAAAATCATTTGTATGGGTGATTTCAATATTAATTTATTAGATATTAACTCGAATTTGTCAAGTGACTTACTTGCCATAGCAGAAACTTTCAGATTAATTCAGAGAATAAAAAATCCCACTCGTGTTTCAGATACTAACATAACTCTAATCGACTTACTTTTCACCAACTTCGACATAGCCAGTACTGATGTTTATGACGCAAATATAGCTGATCATTTCGTCATTTCTTCTTCGTTTCAATTCGTTCACAAAATTCCTACATCGAAACGATTTTCCTATAGAAATTTTAGTCAGATTAACTACAATCTTTTTCAAACAGATCTAGTGACTTTACCTTGGGACGAAATTTATTCCATCGAATCAATAGATGATAAAATTGCATTCTTGAATAGTAATATAATATCTTTGGCTGATGCACACGCTCCGCTGAAGACGTCACGATTTAATAATGATAAGAAAAAGTACACTCCTTGGATAACCGATAACATAAAATACATGCAAAAAATACGCGACAATGCCTTGAGACGATACAGAAGAACTCGACAACCCGTACACTTTGAATATTATAAACAACTCAGAAACTTCACTTCATCTTCCATCAAGAGAGAAAAAAAAGCATACTTAGAATTTACATTCCGAAATTCGGATAGCAGGCAACAGTGGCAAACATTTAGGAAACTTGATATCTTGAAAACTAGCCAGATACAGCTGCCCGATAACCTAAAAAACGTAGATACTCTTAACAATTTTTTTATTAATGCATCAAAAAATGACCGACTCCCCGAACCTGAAATAATAGATTTCTACTCTAGCAGGAAGAAAGAAAGCATTAATAATCTATTGCATTTTTCTCATGTAACAGATGCTGACGTTTTGGCTATAATAAAAAATATAAAAACAAAGGCTTTTGGTTCTGATCGCATCAACATACATTTATTATTGCTCTGCTGCCCATATATAATTACTCATATAACTCATATAATGAATGAATGCTTGGACCAATCGTACTTCCCTAGAGCCTGGAAGCACGCACTGGTTCTCCCATTAGCCAAAATTAAACAACCAACAGAATTCAGTCACTTACGAAGTATCAGCATACTACCTACTCTGTCAAAGGTTCTAGAGAAAATACTTGAATTACAAATACGAATACATCTTCATACGAATGTTATACTTCCAATGCATCAATCTGGGTTCAGAGCTGGTTACAGTTGCTCGTCAGCTCTCTCTGCGATTTCTGATGATATTATCAAATCACTAGATAACAATGAAATATGTGCTCTAATCTTGATTGATTATTCAAGAGCTTTTGATACATTGAATCACGATATCCTGATTTCTATGTTACATTTTATTGGCTTTGATCCTTTTGCATGCGCTTTCATGAGGTCCTATCTATCTGACAGGTCTCAACAAGTAAAGATAGATGACTCTATTTCTATCCCATTGGAAATATTTCAAGGGGTACCACAGGGAAGTATCTTAGGTCCTCTATTGTATACTATTTATACTAGCAACTTCTCTTCACACATTGATCATTGTAAATATCACTTCTACGCAGACGACACACAGCTGTATTATTCATTCAATTTTTCTGATATACGTGAAGCTAATGAACTTATTAACTCTGATTTGAATAAACTTCTTGACGTCACTAATGTGCACTTATTGAAAATCAACTCGAATAAATCTGTTGCGATATTGTTTGGATCTGATAATCAAAGAACTGAGGCCATCGAAATATTGAATATTCGAATTGGAAATGATAGAATTGAAATCAACAATACCTGCAAAAACCTTGGACTGATTATGGATTCCAAATTACGATTCAAAGATCATATAACTTGGAAGTTGAGAAATGCATATACTTCGCTGAAGTTCATTTATAGTCAGAGACACTTTTTGAATGCGAAATTGAAAATACAGTTGTGCGATAGTCTTGTACTCTCTCATTTTAATCACTGCGATATCGTTTATGGCCCCTGTATTGACACTGTCAACGTCAAACGGATCCAAAAGACGCATAAATTAAAAGAGGCTGGATGGCTAAGTATGTTTAATCGCAGAAAACATCATATGGTTTGCTTTTTTTATAAAATACTACTGTATAAAACACCGGAGTACTTATTCAGGAGAATTACCTTCAGAACAGATGTACACAATCTGAACTTGCGTCGGAAAAACATGATAACTATACCAAAACATAGAAAAGAAATCTTCAAGAGGTCTTTTTCTTATAATATTGCACTATTTGGCGATGTTCTGGATGTACCAAATTTTTCTTTAAACTTACAGGGATTCAGGATTTGGTACAAACGATACTTGTTTGGTCGACAATGATTTTTTGATGTTTTTTGTTTTTGTTTTATTTTTTCCTTTTATATCGATTTCCAATTAAATTCATGACTCTTTGTTATAATATCCTTATATACTCCCAATCGTTTGTTTATTTCTTCACTCAAGGGAGCTGTGGAAGAATTGGCTTTACAGCCTAACAGTTTTCCTATTATTCACTGAATATTAATCTAATGTTAAAATTAATGTTTACTGTATTGTATCATTTGGTGAATAATAAAATGTATTATTATTATTATTATTATTATTATTATTATATCGATGGGGGGTGATTTGGAACCACTGAAGTGTCCTCTATCTTCAGGTATCGTATGTACATTTAAGTCTGAAACACCCTGTATTGTAAATTTTACAAGAAAATGATAATGTAGGATGATGTGTATCCTCCTTTAAAACGTATATTCATGCACTATTCAGGAAATTCACACAGCTGTATAACTCGACGAAAAACCAGCCGTCGGCATTCGCGAAGACCGCCGATTGGAACCGCCCCATCATCTCCAATGACAACTCGATGAACTCGCTGGCGCCGCCCTTGCCGCCCACATTTCTGCCGCCCCCCAATCCGCTGCGGCTGGTGACCAACAAGCCGGACGGCGGCAGACCGACCGGCATGTCTCAGTCCCCCCATGGGCCTCCCACGCCAACATTCAGGTGAGTTGTCGAAACTGTGTCTCTGGTAATAGGCTACTGAACTGTTATTGAATTTTTGTAATCCTATACTGTTATTTTGATGCGACGGTAAATTATAATATTTTTTTTCTGCAACCGACACAAAAGTCATCCATTTTGATACCGAAATTAGCTCTTAAATTGACGTTTCTATTACTGACACAAAAATAGGTATGTTGCTAGGCAACATATTTAGTTCCTAGGAGCTAGTTGAATTTTAGTTCCTAGGAGCTAAAGTTGAACTTTAGCTCCTAGGAATTAAAAAGGATGTACTGGGCGTCATCAAGAATAAACAACATTGTGATGGTTGGTTATTTGGGCTGAGAGGCATACCTGATTTCTTTCCGATTTCAGCAGATTTGGCATTTCATACCCATGCTGGAGATATAAATACACCTTATTATTGCTTAGTATTGGAATTATAAACATCTCAGTTAAGTATTTTTGTTTTGATCAGGGAAGCCTTCAAGATTCAAATACTTGCTTGATCTGTATTTCATTCGTTATTCTCGGGATGGAGAACTTGTTTTTGTATAATCACGGCAAGCAATAGTTTTTTTGTCTCAAACAACGATATTGTTTAGCTTCATTTGATTATCAAGTCAAACACAGTGTAGTATGGAAAGGAATAAATAATCACTATTATCATTGTTGATATGCTCACTAACCTAACATTTTCCACGTCTTGTTCCTATAGCTGGCACTGGCGCGGTATTTGCCATTAGAGCACCTGGTCCATACACAGATATGTCACTCTGTGGTTGTATTTATATTGAAACTACAATAATTCGAACATCCTAGAAAACCTAACCTGCTGTTAATGCAGGTAGAATATCCTCACCACAAGGATTATTTGTCAATATTTGTTGCATTGCATACATATGGCACGGCATTGGTGGTTACTTCACATGTTTATTTGAGTTAATTGTTTTGGTTGCAGAAAAAATAGCATGTTTCATTCGGATCAAAAGTGACTTCGCCTCGCAAATTCGCTTGTCAAACAAAGTGTCACTTTTGATCCTAATAAAACAATCTACTATTTTCTACAAACGCTTAACAAAGTAGCCTTTGACGCTTCCAAATTCCAACACAAAGTTGACGTTTTTCCAGAAATGTCATTCTTTGACAGCATTTGCGCTCATGAGCGGAAATATTGAAAAAACGCTCGCACATCACTGTAACCTAGAATCACTGGATGGTATTAGTTTGATACAGCTGAACTTTTGTCCTTTTCTATTTTCTATAATACAATGGTTTAAGTGAATAAAAGAATAAGACATATATTCTACTCTTTGTCTTTTCAATAGGTCGCGTGCACGAAGACCGACCCTGGAGGCAAAATATTGAAACACAACCTCATTCTTCTGTGAATTATTGAAACACAACCTCACTTTTTTATTTGGTTACAGAGGAATCAAAAGGTTGAAATAGTTTTTCACAATATTTTGGCATACGAATCGTGTTTCTTGCGTTATTCATTAATTCAAGCATGCCTTCGCATTGTGCTGTTGTACAATGCACAAAAAATGCAGCAAGAGACTAGGGAATATGATTTTTCAGGTAAATAGTAATCTCACATAGTTAGCATTATGAAATGTCATTCCTTATTAAAATTCCTTCTGCCTTCTGCCACTTCTGCAATACAAGCTAATGCTGCTAATAGATTGAAAATGTCTACAACACACACGATCGTCAGCATGTCAGACCAGTATCCTCCCGATTGATTGCATGAATCCAATCTTCTTGCATTATTCTAGAATATTTCAGGTATATTTCTATTAGCTCCTATCGCAGAAGGAATTCCGATGAGAAATCAGAGAAATAACCAAATTTCAAAAATGAAAACTATGTGAGTGACTATAGTAGGTACTTACTTTTGAATCATAATGTACCATCCGGATTTCTTCATCTTCCGCTGCAGTTTTTGTGCATTTTACAACAGCACAATGTGATGGCATTAGCGAATTGATGAATAGCGGAAAAATACGATTCATATGCCAAAATAATTGTGGAAAACTATTTCGATCACTTGTAAACAAATATGTTTTGCCTCCAGGGTCGGTCATCTGACAGTTCTTGCACGCGACCTATTCCCCTAGTAGCGCCTGATTGTCAGATACGATTTTAGAGGTTATATTTTCTGTCAAATCAATCATAGTCGTAGATGGACAATGGAAATAGGGCACAAACACCCACTTCAATTTATAGTGATATACTCTAGCAGAACAACTGTTATATAAATGAAAAGAATGCATGTACCAACGTTTTAATATTGGAAATATTAAATCAATTGATTATAATTCCAGACAGAAGTAATTTATAAATAAAAATGTATTGTTTTTCATTCAATCATTGCCTACAAGTACAATTTAGTACTGTTTAAAATTTTGTATGAATAGATATTGAACATATAGAATACCTATACTGAATTATTCTTATAATTGATTCTTTAGGCAACAACCTCCACCAATGAAGTCTTGCCTCAGTTGCCATCAGCAGATACATCGTAATGCGCCGATTTGCCCACTGTGCAAGGCCAAATCCAGATCTCGGAACCCAAAGAAACCAAAAAAGAAGGAACATTGAGGATTCTGATTGTGCCAACAGGTTTTTTGAGTTTCTCAATTGGCTGGTTATGATAAGAATCAAAATAGGATCTAGGAATGTAGGACATATTTCACCACTTCATTTCAGAATACTAAGTATTGCTAGTTTTACTTGTTTAGTATGTGCAATAAATGAGAATTTTGTTCCCAGTTTCTTATTTGCAGCAGAATTTTCTAGTTTATAATCTGTTTTGGTAATAAATCATCTGCCCATTCAACTGCCTTGATATGCCTCCAATTCTTAGTCCTGAATTTTCCAGGCAGTTGTAAATTGTGTTGATAACATAAAAAACGAAGACACTGAAGAATGAGTGACAGATTTTATGATATGTCATTTTCAAATATCCATAGAATTTTTTTGGTCTTGATACTAACACAATGATTCTAGGACATTTCAGGTTTTATGAAGATAGGACATATTTTATCTGTCATCTAACTTAAAATTTCAGTAATTAATTTATTTAAGGTTGCTGTATTGTAACTGTTTTGTGTGTAGATGATTGTGTTCATTTATTTTTTGAAAGAATCTTCTTTGATCTGTATTTTCAAAACTTGTATAAGTTATGGCGGATTTATGCAACATTCACATAGTACTATTCTTAGTTCTAAGCATTGTCTTAATTATTAATTTTTGTCTTAAAGATTTGAGGTATTCATCCAGAAACATTGAAACTTGATTTAAGCATTAGAGTCATGTGAGAATTTGTGGTTCTTTTTGTATCAGAGATGAGGAATATTATCTATCCAACTCATCAACATCTGAACTTTCTAATAATATTATTTTCGGAACATGTGAACAACAAATCAACAATTCTATCAAAGGAGCATGCACTGAAACCACATAACATAAGCATACGCATAAAAGTTCAAATTAATAAACTTTCAAGGTCGTTTCTTAGCTGTGCTTATGCTTAACCCATTTGGCCCTGAAACTACTTTTTCCGATTTTGTATATTTTTTTCTCAAAAGCGGTTGATAGAAGGTCCAATAAGTCGAGAAAAAATTATAAAAAAAATTTCGATCTCCAGTTTTGGAAAAAACAGCTGTCCCTTTGAAAGGGCGGTAGGATAAAGGGCTACTATTAGAAAACTAATCAAATATTTAATAGTATGTTTATATTATATCATATAAAATGCTCAGCAAAATACTTAAAACTTTCAGAAACTAATTAGTATGATGGGCCAAAAATACGGTATCATAGCCTCATCAAGGCTGTGATTCTGGGTCATGATTGAAAAAGCGTCACGATAACTTAACAAAACAAAAAAGATGCAAACAAAATATAATGTGACATCGTGACATCTTCAAACCGTCAGCTGAATCAGAAAAATACAGGTTTCGTTTTGAAGTCCTTTTAAAAGGACGGTGGGCGTAAATGGGTTAAGAAGAAAATTGGTGTGTAAACGGCCTCAAGCAAGTACCTTGTTTCAACTTATAGATATAATGTGACACTGGCGACATCTTCAAACCGTCAGCTGAATCAGAAAAATACAGGTTTCGTTTTGAAGTCCTTTTAAAAGGACGGTAGGCGTAAATGGGTTTTAAGAAGAAAATTGGTGTGTAAACGGCCTCAAGCAAGTACCTTGTTTCAACTTATAGTTATGCTTGAAATTATGACTAAGAATACAGATTAGGACTATTCAAATGTTGCATAACTCCATCATATTTGGACCTATAATCTGAAGAAAGAAGTCTGATATATTTATTTTTGTATTTTGTTTCCTTGGAAAATCTCTAATGCAAACTTTCTTAAATTTGCAGGTTGTAGCTATTTTACTGTATGTATAATCTACTTTGTAATGTGAGAGAAAATTTATTTTTTATTCACCTACCCAATCTCACATAGTATTAGGTCAATGTGAAAGCATGTTGTTTATTTTTGTTTTGTGATTATTTTGGTTCACATTTCCCATTATTTATAACAATAATTGTCGTATTTTGAAATAATAAACTTGACTAACAGAAAATACTAGTGTTTCTTCTCCAAAAAATAAGGTTTCAATGTTTTATTCAAAATTACACAATCAAAACAAGTAAATTACATCACTGGGAAATAACAATGTTTGAATAAAAAAGCCATACACTGTAAAATCATCAACTTGATAATAAGTAGCAGAGTAAAAAATCACATTTTCAATAATAGATTGCTTGCAGCTAATAATATTCTGATGCTGATGAAATTGAATTATCCTACTTTGCAGTACTACAAATTTTATAAAATTAGTCATGTCTTCAGATGAACTCAACAAAATTTTGAATGAAATGTAAACTAAAAAAAAAAATGTACAATGAATTCCTAGGAATAAATTAATTCAAACTAACACCTATTTCCAAATAAATATGTTTATTTTTCGAGATTTATAATAAACAGCTCCTTTCAAAATTGAATTTAATTCATCATCCAGACATCTGTCTTAGTTCAGCAATGTGCACAAAAATTCAATTACCTATGGAAAGAATGCTCCAAACCCAAAAGCTTGTTTCATAGCATCCCAATAATATCTTTGCCAATTGTTTTTAGTAACATCTGTCTCTCCAGATGGTACTCCAGTTTGTACCAGTGAAACTTCAGTGTGGTCACTCTGTAAGAGAAATGATATTCAGTAGTAATTTTTTCCAGTGCAGTGTTCATATGCCATCACATAATTTCAAAAATATTGAAATAACAATAACAAACCACTGGTACTATGCAGGGTTGGAACAAGTATTGATTGAAAAAAATTAATAAATACATACAGGGTGAGCCATTAGTGTGGCAAAGTGAGATAACGGCCTTACAGTTTGAGATAGATAGACAAAAGTTCCAGAGATGATCTAGGATCATGAGCAGCACATTTTCAAATTATTTCGCTTTATACAGGGTGACCCAGAAATGCGTGGCGTATCAAAGTTATACTTTTTCTTATGGGATACCCTGTATTTCATTGCATTTTCGCATTATCCTTTGTGAGCTGATTTCATCAATGCATCACACTTGGGGTCTAGCGAGAATGATTACAGAGATATAGGGTGTTCAAAATCGAGATTTTTCAACTTTAGGATTTTTTTTTTGCGTCGAAACTATTCATTATTGGTCAAAACAGCTTTCATGTCCCTAGCCCAACTTTTGATTTACTATCTACTGACATTCAATTGGAACAAATACAGGGTGGTTCAAGATTCAACATTCTGATCACTCTTGTATCTGTTCCAATTAAATATCAGTAGATAATAAATCAAGAGTTGGGATAGGGACATGAAAGCCATTTTGACCAATAATGAATAGTTTCCATGCAAAAAAATCCTAAAGTTGAAATATCTCGATTTTGAACACCCTATATCTCTGTAATCATTCTCGCTAGACCCCAAGTGTGATGCAATGATGAAATCAGCTCACAAAAAAGAATGCGAAAATACAATGAAATACAGGGTGTCCCATAAGAAAAAGTATAACTTTAATATGCCACGCATTTCTGAGTTACCCTGTATAAAGCGAGATAATTTGGATATGTGCTGCTCATGATCCTAGATCATCTCTGAAATTTTTATTCATCTATCTCAAATAGTAAAGCAGTTATCTCACTTTGCCTAATGACTCACCCTGTATATGCAACTATAACTTATTCAGAATCTTCATTTGAGCTACTTTGAAGTTTGCAATTTTTTAAAAAATTGCGGCAATTTTCATTGCACGCCTATGCACTAGTATCAATTTGGACAGCATTTTTTTTTCATTCAAGTGACAGACATCAAAATTCTCATTATACAAAAACAGCTCTCCTGTAATAATTACAGTTCATGAAAAAAAGTTGATTGCTTGCTATTCCTGGACCAAAAATGGATATTTCATACATTATTTATAAATCATTAGATGCAAATTGAATGTTACTGTTCTCATGGTTTCTTTCAACACAATAAGAAGTATTTATTCAAGTTATTTCATAACATTCTCTTCTTCATTGATACATTTCATACAAATAATATATAAAGTATAATTAATTTTCTAGTAGGAATGACATGAAAGATCAGACAGTAACTCCTGGTATAAGATCATTCATGAAGTATTATTGACTGTTGTATAATTGAAATTACAAATAGTGAACAAAACTTACATATCATTAAGATATCTCAAAATAACAGTCATATTATAGTGAACAAGAAGGGGAAAAATAAAAACAGTAAATCATATTTTTTTGAAAATAAGACATTGCAAGCAGGTCATTCTAATTCAGTGTTAAATAGCCTGCAAATTATTATTGCAGAAAAAAATTGAAAACTGTGAAGCAGCTCTTAAAAAAGTTAGTTTTCTGCCTGTTAGCACTCAGATGTAGCCATAATGGCATTGGATTTTTCAGTTTAAACTAGTTCAAATTGAAGGTAATAATGTGATTGGTTCCCATTGGAGAACATTTGAATCAATTTGTTTTTAAAAAGTCATTGAAATTAATTCAGGAATTAAATCACTGACTCAATTCATGCCAACCCTGGTACTATGACATGGTAAATTCAATTTTTCAATTTATATTTTTTATACAGATAATAATGATAGTTGATAAAAAATAATAAAGCTAGGCAAAAAATATTTCTGCAAGTCTTACCTTTTGATCAATAGATATAGTAACATTGGAATAATGTCCTTGGGGCCACTGCTTGTACCTCCACTGTTTGACTATTTTCTTGGCAGGTACCAACTCTTCAAACTTTCCTATAATATTGCCCCCAAATAGTTCAAACACACCCCCTTTTACAGGGTCCAACTTCACATGACTACGTGTGAAAGCTGTCACCATTTCAATCCTAGTAAGAGCATCATAAAACTCCTGAGCAGTACACTGAAATTTGTGGGTTTGTTTTATTGTGCTAGTGTCAAGCTTCAGCCCTGTTTGTTTGACATCATGAGAGACAATGGGTTCCATATTGATTTTTCTGTTGAAGCCACTGGTTAGAGTTTTTACACTGTCAGGTTTGACCTCATCTTTTTTGGGAAGAATCATGCCTTTGGAGAATTCCTCTTTGAGGCTAGAGATGTATTTTGACAGCTGGGAACGTACTAGGTCTTTGCCTGAAGAGAACATTATTTTTTTGAGTTGTAGACCCTCTTCATCTTCATCTTTTACAGAAATTTGGATCTAGAAGAGATACATTTTCATCATCAATGAACTAACTGAAGCTGAAGAATATTCAGAATTGACAAATGCTGCAAGACTATTATTTAATGATCAAATCATAATTTACTCACATCTAATTCAGAAACATCATTTTCTTCTGACAAGTTTGGAATTTTTATTTTCCCAGAAAAGGATCTATCTGTTCCATCTTTCAACTTGCCATTCCACTTCAAAACAATATCCCACTCATAGAAAAATATCAATTTCCCTTTTCTGTTATTTGCAGAAGCTTCCCCTACAAGTTTTTCAACTTCAGATATTCTAATTTCAGCATTATCAGCCTTCACTTCAACATCTTTGAAAAGCTCTTTGATACGGTCTTGTGACCAGGGCCCCGCGTTTTTCTCGGTCCAGTGCCAGTTGTTGACATTTGTGGCATCAGGCCTATCTTCCACTATCCACCTTGGATCACCTTCTCCCCATTTAGCCATTTTTTGCTAGCACAAACCTACCGCCGGGTCAGCTGGAAATATGCGATGGAATACCATCAGTAACAGTAATCTGAGTAATCAGTATACAGGTGGTACTAAGTGGGTACTAAAATTGAATTGAAACACGTGGGAAATGTGACTTTTCTGCTCTATATAGGTACCTACCAAGATAAGGTGAGAAATTGGCTGGAGGGAAAAACTTTTCAAGTCGACTGGATTCTGGAATAATAATAAGGATTTTGTAGGTATGCACGTTGGCCCAGTGCTACTTTAGTACTTTTCGTTTCCACTAATTTCCAGCAACCAGCAAACTTCTAGAAAATTCAAGAATTGAACGATCAAACGAACTTGTGAAGTTCGATCGTAATTGTGTAAAGCGCCTCGCCCGAATAGATCACTAGGTTTACTATGTAGTACCGCTCTTTGTCGCCAGTTGGAGCCACAAATTTTAAAGGATTGACGTGTCAATCAAGAAAGGAAAATGTTTTATGCCCGTGTTCCGTGTCGCATCTCTCGTGTTCTGTGCTTCTGTCGTTATTATGCTTTTTTGTAGATCTATCCTTGTCAATATTTGAAGGGAGGGAAAGAAATTTCAAATAAAAATTTCAATTGTCGAGGGTATGGGACGTGATCTATTCGGGCGAGGCGCTTTACACAATTACGATCGAACTTCACAAGTTCGTTTGATCGTTCAATTGTGTTACAGCGCCTCGCCCTCTAGATCACTAGGTTTACTATGTAGACTTTTAAAGATACAAATATTGCAAGGATAGTAAACATTTTATTATTCTAGTAACACATTATGTTCCAATCGAATAATAAATTAGTCATTCAAGTTCAGTTTTGGAATACAATCTTATTGAAATTATACTGAGGTTCCAGAGGTCTTTTGTAAAACCTTGCAAAGGTCGTTGAATGTTCAGACCATCCTGCAGCTTTCCTAATAACATCATAGGAGACACCTTTACGGTAGGCAGCCGAAGTAGCGGCATGTCTAGTAGAGTGTGCAGAAAATATTTCCGTATTTACTCCAGCTGACTTTAATACCTGAACTATCCAGCGTCCAATAGTTGCTCTAGTTGCTTGAACGAAAGGTGCCTTTGAAGTTATAAAGAGATATTTATCATGCTCTGATCTACTGTTTGCAGTTCTTTCTATGTAATTAAGTAGTGTAGATGTTACACACAAATTTGGTGTTTGGTGGAAATAGGGAAATTCCATGTAAGGTTGAAATGCACTGGTTGGTGTTGTCTTAATTGGGTCATCAATAAACACATGAGACCCCTCTCTATCAAAAATTATGTTTTGAATGTTCATTAAATGGATTGTTTGAATTCTCTGACCAGATGCCAGTGCTATCAAAGTAGCAAGTTTTTTCGATAGATTCAATATGTCCAAACTTTGGTTAGGACCCATGGAATCTATATACCTTAAAACTATTTGAGGATCCCAAGTGATGTGGTATTTGGGTTTAGGTGGACGTGACCTTCGTACTCCTCTTAAGAAACGTCTTATCTGAATATTTTGTCCAATTTCACCAGGTAAGATGAGTGCAAGAGCAGACCGGTGTTGGTTAAACATACCATAGGAGTAGTTTTTTGAATCTAATTGTTCTTGTAAGAAAATCAACACATCTGAAACTCCTGCATTATAAGGACTAATTTTGTTTCTGCAACAAAATAGCCACCATAAGTTGAAGGTCGTGTTGTACTGCTTCATGGTAGCTGCTGATAGAGATTCTAATGATGTTTCGACTGTTTCTTCTGGGTATCCTTTGCTTAAGAAAGCCTCCCTGACAATTTGCCGGCAACCAGGATAAGGGAGTGACTCATTGGGTGTGATGAACTGAAAGGAGAAGATAATAAGTCAATTTTTGGTCCCAAATAAACCAATTCTGATATTAAAAGTTTCTTAAATAAAGGGTACCATGGTTGTGTAGGCCAGTAAGGTACAACCACAATACCGTCAACCTTGTCTGAAATAATTTTGTTGAGTGTACGCAAAACCAAGGAGAAGGGTGGAAATGCATAAAAATTAAATTTTTTCCAGGAGACAGTGAAGGCGTCAACCGCCCAAGAATCAGGGTCTGGATGCCATGATAAGTATTTTTTGCATTTTGCATTGACTTTTGAGGCAAATAAATCAATATCAGGTTTACCAAGATGAACAATAATATTACTATAGGCATCCTCTGATAGTTCCCATTCAGTCTCAGTAGATATTTTTCTAGAACTCTCATCAGCTTTGTTTTCTTTTGACTGAACATATGAAGCATGGAGCCATAGATCTCGATCCTCACACCACTGCCAAATCTTTTTGGAGAGGCTATTGAGTTTTACGTTTTGAACACTACCCATTTTATTAATGTAACTCAAAGCTGTAGTATTATCTACTCTCAACAGTATATTGCAGGATCTCAGATCTTTGGCATAACATTTCAAAGCATAAAATATAGCTTTTAGCTCTAAGTAGTTTATATGGTGAGTGATTTCAGATAATTTCCACCAACCATAGGTGTTTTGTCCTTGACAATATACCCCCCACCCTGTTTTTGAAGCATCTGAAAATATTTCAATATCAAAATGGTCTTTAATTATTTTATTTTTGGAAATCAAAACTGATTTTTTCCACCATTCTAAGTCACCTTTGATAGACTCGGTTATTTTCATAGCACAGTTATAATTCTGGTTAGATTGTTTCAAGGCCAAATACTTCTCTCTTTCTAAAGTTTTTGTATAAACTTTACCATATTGTACAGCAGGGCAAGCTGATACAATTAATCCTATGAATTGTGCAAATTCCCTAATTTTTACATATTTCTTTGACTGAATTCTAAGAATTGAGTTATAAATTTTTGTTCTTTTTTCTTGTGTAAGTTCCAAAGTCATTTCTACTGAATCAAATATGAAACCCAGAAATGTACATCTTTGTGCTGGATTGAGTTGACTCTTGTCTTCATTGATAGTAAAGCCTAAAGAACTCAAAAGCATAACCGTACAGTGAACTGCTTCCTTGCATTTTTCTGAGGTTTCTGAAGTTATCCAAATATCATCCAAATATGACACACAGGAAATGTCTTTCTGTCTAAGTTTAGCTAAGACTGGCCTCATCACTTTAGTAAAAACATATGGTGCTGAGGAGAGGCCAAATGGTAAGGCTGTGAATTCATAAAGGGTATGGTTAAACTTGAATCTTAAATATTTTCTATAGTCCCTATCAATTGGAATTGAAAAATAGGCATCCTTAAGATCTATAGTTGCCATGTATGATTCGTTTTGAATAAGTTTCATAACAGTTCTGGTGTCCTCCATTTTAAAATGTGGGGGATTAATAAATTTATTCAATTTTTTGAGGTTAAGAATGAAACGTTTTTTACCATTTGGCTTATTTACCAAGAAATAGTGAGACAAAAATTGATCTTTCATTCCAATACACTTTTTTACTGCTCCTAAGCTAACTAAATCAGTTATTGCCAGAATTAAAGATTTGTCTTTCTTCTTGTCTTTTGGCATGTAGCATGTAGATTTAGGTTTTTTCAAGAAGGGAATTTTATAACCTTTAATATAATTCAGGACTGTGCTCGTAGCACCTATATCCTTCCACATCCCAAAATGTTTCCTGAGTCCACCTGCAATTTTTTCTACCTTTAGGATCGAAACCTGCTCTGCTGTTGACTCCTTCTCTGCAGAGGTCTCTGGCCCTCCTGTCGATGATCCCTCCTGAACCTCGACGGGCCTCGGAAGTTTAAAGAATGTGTGATTACTTTACTTTTAGGTCCTACATTTGTAGGCATATTATTTACTGTATATGGCTTCTTGAAATCTCTACTGGACTTTTCTACTGCTCTGGCTGCTTTAATTTTTTCTCCCAGGTCAGAGTCAAATAGGTGTTCACCAACAGCTGATGCACTAGTGAGTGCTTTAACAGTTTTATTTAGATGTGGAATTATTATAGCTCTCCTCGTAAGAGACATTCTATAATGCAAATCAGCAAGGATTTTTCCTGCCTCACTTAGTTCTCTTATGGCCTGTTTCTGAGATTCAGAATTATTAGTTTGATTTTGTGTTTTCAATATCAAGTTAAGGGTCATACCCAGTGCAGCAATTCCTCGTCCTAATTGGTTTTGTCTGTTGATGTGAAAACTATCCTTTTTGATAATCATCTCTGGAATAGCAGTTACAATTTCTTCGTTAACTTTGGGTGCTATGAGTGTTGGTAAGTTAGAGGGAGGTCCATATTTTTCTATGAGTTTTGATCTCTCATCTTTTCCTAACCCCTTACTAATTATAGTTTTCCACCTATTACATATAATTGGATGTAATTCAAAGGTTTTTAGGGTATCTTTTTTCTCTCCTAGCAATTCTAGAATTTCATCATCATCAACCTGACTTTCCTGATCGCCAGGTTGTGAGAGAGGAGAACCCAATCCAAGATGTTCATTGTTCAACAAGGGTTCATTATCCTCATCTGAAACATCTAGTATCTGTGAATCTGAATCAACACTTGGTCTTCTGTGTTGGGACGGTGAATCAGACTCCTGGGCATGTAGCCTTTTTGTATTGGAGATCTGTTGACAATGTGTTCGGTCCTTCGTAACATAGTCCTGGGCTCGTAACCCGTTTGGGACGTCAGACCTTGGGGACATGTCCTGGGCACGTGACCCACTGTGGACACCTGACCTTGGAGAAGTATATGACTTCTTTTTACGGTCACCTCGAGAGTCGCCTGGAGAACTGGTACGAGACTGTCCATATGATTTTTCCGAATATCTTTTGGATGGGGGTCTCTCATGGTTTGTGTCACTTCGGTACCTTTCATCTTCATGATCGACATGATCATAACTTGGACTTGAGCGTTGCAAATGGCGGCGACTCTCCTGTTCCATCTTCTTCTTCATATCGGCAATTTCTCGTTCTAGGTCGAGTAATAATTCACGGCGCGATCGTTTTACTTCTCTGCTGTTGAGCGGAGAACGTTCGCGGCTTCTTTTCGATGATTTG